CTTGGCCGTCCCCTGGGCCTTTTGTCGGTCGGATTTGTAAGGAACAGTTGCTTAGCCTTCCTTTCTGGAGACATTCGCAACACATGCCCAGGCCATTACCAAGCTTTCATAGAAAAATAAATTCTGTCCGAAGATAGGAGGTTTTTTCAAATCTACTTCAAAATAGGCAATGCTGTAGGATCACCGATCTACCGGTAACTTCATATGGAAGAGATCGACGTTATTTAGGTGTTCGAGTGCAACTAGAGTTACAAGGCCTACATTGAAAGACCATATTGAGATCGTACAAAACGGTTGAGGAATGTCGGCTGTTTTTATTTTCCTCATTTTCGTCCGTCAAAACTGAGATTATATATTTGTTTCGTTTCTTGTTATATGTTGTAATAGTTTTGTAAAATGTTTCCTGCTTATGTGCTGAAAAGCAAAATGCGACGGTGGTGTCATTCAATCAGTAAATTTTCATCATAATTTTAACCAACATGAAAATACGAATGAAAACAAAATGATCATTTTTATAACTACAACTGCCAGACTGCATGACTGACAGTTCTTCAACATGAGAAAAGCGCCAACCATCACCTGACAATAGAGATAGAGTCCAAATAAGGGTGGACGAGCAATTTGAGGTGACCCTATGCAATGAGCCCCTTGTTGCGATTGTGTTTGGTGAGCTCTCGAAGGATCTTTCTGCATTCGACCTTCCCTCTGACAGACGCTGTTCCCAGTCGAGCCCTCTGAAAGCTCACTTAGTAATCTCCAGGCACAAGCAAAAATACCTGTCTTAATATGTCCATTTGTTTCATGAATTCGCGTCTCAGTCTAGGGTTCATCTTGTACGTGCGTGCCATGGACGAGTGCCAGTCGGCCAGCTGAGCCACCGACAAGCATGGGTCGTTTCTATTCGTCGTCGCTAAAGACGATGGCAACGAATTAGCGTTAAACTCCGGTAAAAGACCGCCTATGCCGTCCATTATGGAGGCTGAAAAGAAAAGCAAGCTGTTTGAACGGACTACAGTATTCACATTATACTATTTTAGCAACATGGCTAGAGAATCTTGGTTTCAAGCATAAATTAAAGGGAAACATTAAAAATAATTTAAATAAATTGTTATAGTTTAAAGGTCAATTTAACTAGTTGTAACAAACGGTACTTCAATCGTTCTAACCTCAAGCAGACGGATGGTAGTCTATACTAGAACTGTCGACGTTTCGTCCAAACTATATTGGTTATCCGTAGTACAGCAATTTTGTTGAAACGTTGTTTGTGTTCAGGACCACTGAAGTGCCAATAGATGGAGGAAAAACACACAGAATAAATATGAGTTTCAGTAATCCTTTGAACTAATTGAGTTCAATCCTAAAGGGTCGATGTTGGCAGTACGATGATGACACCAACAG